AATAACCAAAGCAATCTCGAGGGAAAAAAGCGGAGCTAGAGGAATCAGACTCCCGGACTTCAGACTATAGTACAAAGCTACAGTAGTCAAGACAACATGGTACTGGAACAGAAACAGAAATATAGATCAATGGAACAGGAGAAACCCCAGAGATAAACCCATGCACCTATGGTCAACTAATCTATGACAAAGGAGGCAAGGATAGACAATGGAGAAAAGACAGCCTCTTCAATAAGTGGTGCTGGGAAAACTGAACAGTTACATGGAAAAAAATGAAATTAGAACACTCCCTAACACCATACACAAAAATAAACTCAGAATGGATTAAAGACCTAAATGTAAGACCGAACATTATAAAACTCTTAGAGGAAAACATAGGAAGAACACTCTTTGACATAAATCACAGCAAGATCTTTTTTGACCCACTTCCTAGAGTAACAGAAAAAAATACAAAAATAAACAAATGGGACCTACTGAAACTTAAAAGCTTCTGCATAGCAAAGGAAACCATAAACAAGATGAAAAGACAACCCTCAAAATGGGAGAAAATGTTTGCAAACAAATCAACGCACAAAGGATTAATCTCCAAAATATATAAACAGCTCATGCAGCTCAATATTAAAAAAAACAAACAACCCAATCCAAAAATGGGCAGAAGACCTAAATAGACATTTCTCCAAAGAAGATATACAGACTGCCAACAAACACATGAAAGAATGCTCAACATCATTAATCATTAGAGAAATGCAAATCAAAACTACAATGAGATATCATCTCACACCGGTCAAAATGGCCATCATCAAAAAATCTAGAAACAATAAATGCTGGAGAGGGTGTGGAGAAAAGGGAACCCTCTTGCACTGTTGGTGGGAATGTAAATTGATACAGCCACTATGGAGAACAGCATGGCGATTCCTTAAAAAACTAAAAATAGAACTATCATACGACCCAGCAATCCCACTACTGGGCATATACACAGAGAAAACTATAATTCAAAAAGATACATGCGCCCCAATGTTCACTGCAGCACTATTTACAATAGCCAGGTCATGGAAGCAACTTAAATGCCCATCGACAGACAAATGGATAAAGAAGATGTGGTACATATATACAATGGAATATTACTCAGCCATAAAAATGAACGAAATTGGGCCATTTGTAGAGACATGGATGGACCTAGAGACTGCCATACAGAGTGAAGTAAGTGAGAAAGAGAAAAACAAATATCTTATATTAACACATATATGTGGAATCTAGAAAAATGGTACAGATGAACTGGTTTGCCAGGCAGAAATAGAGACACAGATGTAGAGAACAAAAGTATGCACTCAAATGGGGGAAAGTGGTGGGGGTGGGGGTGGGGGTGGTGGGATGAACTGGGCGATTGGGACTGACATGTATACACTTATATGTATAAAACAAATAACTAATAAGAACCTGCTGTATAAAAAAATAAATTTAAAAAAAACCAACAATTCTGATAAACTGGACCTCATCAGCAAGAGAGTAATAAGAAGAAAAAGCAAGATAATACTGAAGGAGAGTGTCAGTTAAACCCATCAGAGCTGCCTCAAAACAGTGTAATCCCCAATAGTTAACAGAATTGGCTCAACTATCTGCCATGATGGGCCCACAGCAGAACAGATGCAAGCACAGGAAAGGGACCCGCACCACAAAGTGGTGCAGAAAGGGACCAGCTTTTTCAGAACCATCTACAATGCTTACTGAAAATATGTATGACCAGGCCACACTTCATATCTAATGGCTTAGAAATTCCAAGGTGTAAGCAGAAGCACATGTTGGTGGGAATGTAAATTGCTACAGCCACTATGGAGAACAGTATGGAGGTTCCTTAGAAAACTAAAAATAGAGCTACCATATGATTCTGCAACCCCACTACTGGGCATATATCCAGAAAAGATGAAAGCTTTAATTCATAATATCATAAGATACACGCACACCAATGTTCAAAGCAGCACCATTTACAAAAGCCAAGACATGGAAGCAACCTTAGTGTCCATCAACAGATGAATGGATGAAGAAGATGTGTTATATATATGTGTGTGTGTGTGTGTGTGTGTGTGTGTATACACACACACACACACATATACACATAAATATATATATACATACACATACAAATATACACAGACAATGGAATATTACTCAGCCATAAAAAGAATGAAATAGGACTTCCCTGGTGGTGCAGTGGTTAGGAACCTGCCTGCCAGTGCAGGGGACATGGGTTCAAGCTGTTTTCCAGGAAGATCCTACATGCCACAGAGCAACTAAGCTCATGTGCCACAACTACTGAGCCTGCATTCTAAAGCCCGTGAGCCACAGCTACTGAGCCTGTGTGCCACAACTACTGAAGCCCACGCTCCTAGAGCCCGTGCTCCCCAACAAGAGAAGCCACCGCAATGAGAAGCCCGCGCACCGCAATGAAGAGTAGCCCCGGCTCGCTGCAAGAGATAGCCCGTGCGCAGCAACGAAGACCCAATGCAGCCAGAAAGAAAAAAGAAAAAAGAAAATACATTAATTAATTGATTTTAAAAAAAGAATGAAAATACCATTTCCAGCAACATGGATGGATGTAGAGATTATCATACTAAGTGAAGTCAGACAGCGAAGGACAAATATCATATGATATCATTTATACGTGGAATCTAAAAAAATGATACAAATGAACTTATTTACAAAACAGAAAGAGACTCACAGACATAGAAAACAAGCTTATAGTTAGCAAAGGGGATGGGGGGGAGATAAATTAGGAGTTTAGGATTAACATATACACACTACATATAAATGGGTAAACAAGGACCTACTGTGTAGCACAGGGAACTATACTCAATTAGCTTGTAATATATTCTAAAAAGAATATATATATATATGAATAACAGAATCACCCTGCTGTACATCTCAAACTAACACAACATTGTAAATTAACTATACTTCAATGTTTTTAAAAAAAGTTAAAAAAAAAAAGAGATAGCCCCTTTTAGGATATACACATTCAAGTATTTACGGGTAAAGGGCCATGATGTATATAACATCCTCAAAAATGGTTAAAAAAAATGTGTGTGTGTGTGTGTGTGTGTGTGTGTGTGTGTGTATAATTTGGCGGATTTTTCTAGTTTTGGTATTTGTATATATGTGTGAACTTATTTCCAAATAAAAAGCTCTTTTAAAAGAGGAGGAGAGGGGCTTCCCTGGTGGCGCAGTGGTTGCGAGTCCGCCTGCCGATGCAGGGGACGGGGGTTCGTGCCCCGGTCCGGGAGGATCCCACATGCTGCGGAGCGGCTGGGCCCGTGAGCCATGGCCGCTGAGCCTGCGCGTCTGGAGCCTGTGCTCCGCAACGGGAGAGGCCACAGCAGTGAGAGGCCTGCGTACCGCAAAAAAAAAAAAAAAAAAAATTTATGTGGAAATAGTCTCAGAGACCATGTTTTCCAACCGTGATCGACATCTGGTAGACAAAGAAACTGGGAGCTAAGAAAAGGAACTTCCTTCCGATACGCAGAGTAGATCTAAAGTTAGCAAGTCAAGTTTTTTGGCACCCAGTACTGATGACACCACATACCATACTGGACTTCTTTATGATGACACATAACTGCAAGAAAGATCAAGAACTACACACAAGTCTATATTTTTAAGAACTGCAAAGCACTGCCCCTGTTTTGAAGAAAGCAGGTACTGAACTTCTACTACCTCCTCCAAAAAGAAATGTCCAACCATATTGGAGAGTGGGAAAATACTCAGCTTTTGAATACTTACACCAGTTTAATGACTGAAAAAAGAAAACACTAATGGATTAATCAAGCCTTCCCACAGGACACCCGATTCCCACAGGCACACAGGATTCCTGTGCTGCCTTCAGAGGCCGAACATGAGCAAGCCTTGTACAGCCTCCACATCGGAAACAATGAGGGCAACGGGAGGGGTGACTCGGAGAACGAACCTCTGCAGGTCTGGTAGTCTAGGGAGCATACTCAGCACCAAAGACAGAGCCATGAGTGATTACAAGTGTAATTCAACTCACAATATTGAAAGAAATCAAACGAAGGCAAACCTAGAACAGAGGTCTTCTCATCCAAAGAGGTTCCTGAGACTCCTCATCCCATAAATGATCACACAGTACTCCATTTTCCTAACAAACTGACGCCCCTGCCTGAGTGTGGAGAGCACGTCCCAGCCTAATTCAGCTGTGGAACTCAGCTCCATTTAAAAATTCCTTCAGACAGCTGAACTCTGCACTATGTAATTAAGCAGACCGTATACTGTTTCTTTAGTAAGAGCACCCAGGCAGACCTTACAACTGCCGAAGTGCCAGTCTAGTTTTTGTTTCTCCTTCAGAACAAAGCACAAGTTCAGTTGACGTAACCTCACATGACCCAGGTTCTCTTGTATTTCTGGTCTCTTTAGGTCTAAACGTTGTGAAGCAGAAACGAGGCTTTACTGGATGGTGGGAAAGGACTTTCTTCAGTTAACGAAATTTGCTTCCAATCTGATAAAACTCACATTTGTGCCACTTCAGAATTTATTACAAGACTCTTCAAAATGTGCTAATTTGTCACCGAACAAATGAAACATTGAGAATAATAAGAAAACTATACATAATTAGTCACGTAAAATCCTAACCAAGAAAGCCCCTAAAATAGAATAATTTCCTCATAAAACACAAGCGGTAAAAAGTTTCCAAGAGCATAACTGTATTTATATTGTACAGCTAGAATGCATGAAATATGCATATTTATAAATATTCTTCTTGAAAAATGTTCTCTTATAGGTAAACAATCTATTCATGATTTGCATATATTTCTTTGTATAAATCAGTGCACCAAATGGAAAAAATATTTTAAATTACTTCCAATATTTCACATTTAACCAGATGCACAGATGCAATATAACAGTTAGTAGCGGCAGCCAACTGAACAGAATTTCTTATGACTAACTGGACAAAACCTACGTATAACAAAGACCTGACAAAATCTGGTAAGACTTACTTGCTACTCCTGATGCCAGTCCATACAGCAGCCCTCCCGCATCTGACTGCTGAGGGAAAACGTGTGCTCCTGGAGGAGGCGGCTTTTCTTGCCTGATGAAGTTATACAACAAGGTCTTTACAAGTTTGCTGGTATATGGGAGGCTACACAAAAAGAAAAAAGAAAATAAACTCAGATTTTGGGGAGTCAACTGACTTTGTATTGTGATAAATATAAGCTATATAATCTACCGACATAAAAGGGATTAGCACAATTCAAAGAAATCTGGCACTGTCACAACAGTGAAGACCATGGGCTTTGAGATCAGACTTGAGGCTTAAATCTGGCTTTCCTCTTACTATGCTGTATGTCATTCATCAAATCGCTTCAACTCCTAAGCTTCAGTTACCTTATTTATAATCTGTATAACAGGTGAAGTATTATAAATTCAGTGTATAATACAGTACTTGGCACTTGAAGGGAGGTAGTAACACAGAGTCAGTAGGAAAACGCAAGAATTTAAAAGTATGGAAATTGACTTGAATAGTATACTTGACTTAACCCAATATATCCAAAATATTCAACATAAAATCAATATAACAATTGTTATATAGCTTACATTGTTTAAAATAAATAAAAGTATGAAGTTATTCAATCTATGCATGCATATAAAAAACATATCCATATATATACAGATTTCTTTTAATGTTAATACCCTTTGCTTTTAAGTAACAGAATGAGAGAAGGGAGAGAAAACAGGTTAAAAGGGATATGTGTCCACAAATTGGTGATAAATCAATTCCTGCAATCTGGAGAAAACTTTTGAATAGACTCTTCAGCCAATGCTTAAGGCCTTTTATCCCTATTATCAGTGATTTTCAAATATGTTCTAAAAGAGCTCTAAAGGATTCTGTGAATGTGCCACAAGTATAATCAAGGTAGCAAGAAGGATGTGAAAAAGACAAAGGTGCTTCTCTCTCTCTCTCTCTCTCTCTCTCTCTCTCTCTCTCTCTCTCTCTCTCTGTGTGTGTGTGTTTAATATTTATCTACTCCCGTCGCTACCCACCAGGAGACTGTAAGCTTCTGCTCTGCTCAGGTGCACAGCTCCACATCCTAACACATGTCTGGCACATGGTTAGCACACAATAAACATTTGTTGACTACATGAAAGTAGGAACAGTCAGTTAAGTGGCTGCTGGGGAAGTCCAAACACATGGTGACGGGACATCCACTGCAGTAGTCGTTTCAATGGGACTGGTGGGAAGGGGAAGTTACAAATAATTTCAATGACCAAATATGACTGGATGAATGCTTAGACATAGAGAATGATGCAGAAGGAAGAAAACATGGCTTCAAAGTTTCAACTCTACAAAGAAACCACTAGAGAAGGTAATGAAGCTAGGGGATGAAAGGGGCAGGGAGGATGCATAGTTTAGACAGGAAAGCAGATCCTTATGTGTTGTGTTTGAAGTTGTGACAGAACAACCAGAGGAAATGTCTGGTTGGAGATATGGAACAACACTAAGGAAAGAGGACAAGATGAGAACTATAGACTAATTCAATAAAAAACTTGACAAATTCAAAATAGAAACATACCATCGACCTCGCATCAAATACTTGTGACTGATGCTCTGTCGCAAAACTTCCTTGTGGAAGAGTTGGCAGGAAAGGAAGACCACCATTGTTGACACAGCTTCTACTGATATTTCATATGTAATATCTCTGGAAAAATAGGAAACAAATCAGAATAATGATCACTTTGGAAGATTAAGATATTGCTCTTTTCTAAATAAACTATACATTTAAAAACTCAAATCAAAATATTCAGTATGCTTCTGGATTATTAAAAAATACTAGTATGTTTAACATACAAGTTAAGTCAAACAAAAATATGAAACCGTTCCTTGTCATTAGTTCTTGTACTTGGGTCAAATATCCCATTACTTTCCTATTTTCCAGGTCCCATCTACTAATGAATGACAAGTATCAATATATTAGTGTATAATGGAAACAGTTACCAGCAGTGTTCTACTTTGAAGGTCCACTCTAAAGCCCTTATGTTCATTTCCTGTTTAGTTATAACACAGAAACAAATATTCAGATTGTAAAACTGAAAAGAA